TGTATGTTGGAGATGTTTTGCACATACAGTCACAGCTGTTTTTTTTTTCCTCTTCTTCCTTTTTTAAATATAATTTTTATGAAAATCTCCGTTGGACTGTTAGCTTCAGCAATACAGATGAAAAGGGGTGTACGTTGCAGATTTCTACATGCTATTTTTTAAGTTGGGGCATTAGGTGATGCAATTTCTGCAAACAGTTTGGCCAGATTTTTCCATTGTGTGTCTTGATTCTTTTCTTCTTTTTTTTTTTAAATTTGTATAAAATGTATAGTATAAACTGCTTAGGCTCTGTTGTGGTTTTTTCCCCCAATGAGAGATGATGGCAATCTTGCTAAAAACAGATTATGGCCATTCAAGGGGAAAAGCCTTGCCTTAGATACCACCCCTCGGACAGGTGGGACTTCGCACTAATCTTGCTACTTGCCTAATGAGAAAGCGGCACACAGGTTGTCAAGGGTTTTTCTTTTCTTTTCAACAAGAAGAGGGAAGAGACCAGTTGTACAGGTTTAGACGTTTATTTGGAAAAAAATATCTTGTGGATGATGAGTGCTGCTGACATAATAGGTACTCTTTATTGACCCTTAGGGCTTGTTCACAACAATTGCGGTGCATTCCAGAGCAGTAGCTACTGCAATGCATAGGAATCAAAAACTGAACTTCCCCCTTCGTTCTGGAGTGAGAGGGGGCATGGCGGTGCATTGAAGTCAATGGCACCGCAACCCCGTCTGCGATGCAGTGGGACGCGTGGTAAACCATTGCCTGTGTGCCATTCCACTGCAAATGCAAAAAAAGCTGCATGCTCTATTTTTTGCGTTTGCAGTGGACCAGAAAACAGGCAATGTTTTGCCACACGTCCGATCGCACTGCGGGGGGCATGGCTATGGTGCCATTGACTTCATTGCACTGCAACGCCTCCTCCCACCCCAGAACGAAGGAGGAAGTTAGTGTGTGATTGCAGCAGCTACCGCTCTGGAACGCACCACAATTGGTGTGAACAAGCCCTTAAAGTAGCCCTAAAGGGCTTGATTGACTAAGCATTGCTTGGGCCATTTATTACCATATTTAGTTCAAGGGTCAAGGTGGTACTAAAAGAGGTTTCAGGTGCTGGCCACTGGAGCTCGTCCACGCTGCTCCCATTGGATGAGCAAACAAGCTGGCTGCACTCCAATGACATCGGCCTTTTACAAAATAATGTTATTCCAAGACAAGATCACAAAGAGTCTTCCCATACAAAGCCTCACTCTGTTTCACCCAAAAAGGGCTTTATCATAGATACCGGGGGAGAAATCTATTTATACAACATTCACAAATGAAACATGGTCTTAAAGGCAATATATACGCATACATATATTACAGAAGTGAGCCTAATAAAAACCTAATGTAAACATGGTTAAATATACATTTCAGTCACAAGTAACACTATTAACCCCTTAACACGCGTCGGGTGCACCTACGCATGAAACCGACGAACGCGCTAGACATGTTGGGTATCGCCGCGTACGCCGGAGTGAGAGCAATAATTCTAGGGCCAGTATTTTGGGGTATCTCTAAATTGATGACCTGTGGGGGCTTTTAAAGCGTCTTTTATTGACTTTTTGGGGTACTGCAGTTTTTCGCCGTTTCACGGTCGCACGCAATCTGTAAACTGGGCATGTTGGGTATCGTTTTACTCGTTGTAACCTCATCTTTTATATTTCATTTAAAAAATGGGTAATTTGTTGTGTTTTGGGGCATTTAATTAAATTTGTCACAAAATTTTGGGGTTTAATAAGGAGTTGCGCTAATATTGCGCAACATAAAAATTTTCAACTACCACCATTTTATTCTATAGGGTCTTGGCATTCAGAAAATATATAATGTTGGGGGGTTTTACGTCATTTTCAGGCCTAAAATGTGGAATATAACATGGGTGCAAAAAATGAAAAAAGGGCCTCAGTCATGAAGGGGTTAAACTAAACTGGAAACAAAGATCACCTTACAAATATACATGTTGTAGCCTTGTTTTACCACGCTCATACACCTGTTTTAAAAAAACTTGATTATATAACCAATTCAAATTAAGGCCAGAGATGCAAGAAACATCACGGAGAGAAAGAGGACTTTTTTGTTAAAGCAAATATTATAGATGAGAAATAAAAATACTGAGCGTAGAGATGAAGTGGGGGAGAGGGGAGGTGTAGGAAGGAGGTGAAGTGGGTAAGAAGGAAAACTAGAAATGAATAAATATGGACCTGCTCAAAATCCTAACTTATTCTTAGTAACATCCCATTTAAAGTTAATTCTTTTAGGAGCCCTAGACTTTAACGTAAAAGTCCAATAAACCTCTTTTCTACTCAATAGAAAAAAACATTCACCACATCTAAGGGTATAATTTCCTTCGATCTGTCTACCTTTTAAAGATTTAGGGGGTTATTCACTTAGCTGCCAAAGGCAGACAATTGAGTGACCGAGCCGAAGTGAAGTTAGCTGGACGCTGTTTGGCTATTCACCTCAGCCTTGTACGGCTGATTTCAGAAACCTCGGGTAAAATCAGCCGTGCATCGGCTGCCTTCGGCCAGCTGAAGTGCAGAAGGAGTTCGACTCAGCTGATCCAACATCTGGATCGGCTTAGCCGCAGCTCCGCCAGCTCACTCGCTTCCATTCGCCACTATTCTCATAGGGGCCAAGCGTCAGTCAGTGAATAGCTGAATCCCACCGAGCGGCAGGAAGTGAATAGCCCGTACAGCAGCCCTTCGGTTCGACTGAACCGAAGAGCTCCGGCGGCTGAAGGATCAGCCGAAACTACGGCTTGATCCTTCAGCTCATTCGTGATTAACCCTCTTTATATTGAACCCGTGGCAATTGATTACATGTGTTTTCTTATTAGTCCTAATTTATCTTGTGTTATGAATAAGAGCTGCTGACACCATATATGCTCATTATTGACCTAAATGGATCAAATCTCAATTAAGCATTGCTTTGGTCCATTGGACAATCTTCAGTTTGTCTGCCCTACTCTACATAGGGTGAATGAAACCTGAGAAAGACAGGATATGTGATCAGTCTGTATGAACTGTCAGTAGCCCGAGCAGCTAGAATATATATCACATGTTTATGTATACTTCCTAATCTATTCAAGAAAAAAAAAAAGATAGGGGCCCTCAACCTATTTGGTACCCACATCAAGATTCTATTGACAGCGAAGAGCAGGATAAAGCTTCCATGTTGTAGTATGTATGTGTACTAGTGGCTCTAGTATGCATTTAGACAGCAGCCAATTAACCCGCCAGCATGTCTTTTGGAGTGTGGGAAGAAACCAGAGTACCTGGAGAAAACCCATGCAGGCACAGGGAGAACATGCAAACTACCTGCCAATAGTGTCTTGGCAAGGATATAAACCAAGTGCTAACCACTGTGCAGAATTAAAGCCTAGTTTCAGGGGGGGAAAAAAACTCCCCTTGCAGTGTGGCTGCAACCATACTACATGGGTTAACTACTCCTTTAGGTCTAGTGTATCGGGGAAAGCAGCTTTACTCACTCCCCCAGCAGCCATTGCTCTTCTTCTCTTCCCTACACTCCATCTCATGGACTGTCCCTCGATGCCTCCAACCATCGGAGCATAGGGGGGGGAACAGTCTGCGGGTGCTGTTCTTGGAGCCTTTGTGAGTGGAGATCAGCTAAGTAAAAGTCCTTCACCCAGTTACCGTAGACCTAAATGAGCAGTTCACCCTTGCAATGTGGGGGCAGCCCCACTGACAGGGGAGATAGGCTTTAAGTTACATTTGTAAAACATATGGATATAGTGTTAGATTTACTTAGGAAATGTGTTGCTATCCCCTGGGATTGTCTGCCTGTGATTATAGAATGGTTACAGTGACTGTTTCCTCAATTCAAGTTCAAAAGAGACCATTTATTATACGTTTTTGTGTCCCTTGGTAGCACCCTACAATGAGGTGGGTGCAATGTTTCTAATTTGATTACTACGGTAGTGGCCTGGGAGGACTCCGGACCCAATTCAGGACTTGGTTGCCCCGTTCATCTGGTGGGATTCTGTAGGGTCAAAGAAGCCCATTTTATATGTAGTACAGAGGACACACATTTACGACGGACCGCCGATCGACCTCCGACCTTCCGCGTCAGCGTCAGTGCGACGGGTCGCCGGCGGAAGTGACATCCCCCGATCTTCACTGCAGGTCTCGGTAAGTATTTCCATTGCCGGATGTACAGTACACTGTTCGGTACTGTACATCGGCAACGCTATACAGTACTGTACTAATGCAGTATTAATGCAGTTCCTCACTTAACGACCAATCCGTTTAACGACCTGGTTGTAGGAACGGAACTCGGTCGTTAAGTGAGGAATACCTGTACAGAGGACACACAATAGAACCTTGGTTCTCAACTGGTGGGTTGTGACCCCATGTTCAGTGGGTCGCCACATGCCTTCCACTTTTCTAGGTGAGAGACTCCTCAGCCTCCCCCTAGCCCAGCACCATCACTTCTCGAGCCGAGCCGCCATTCAAAATACTGGCCGGCCCTGCACGTCACCTTGAGGTGGGGTGTGGTGGGCTGAAAGTATGACCAAAAGGGAGCTCCATCCATACGTGCATTGCTTACAGCACCCATGTGCCCTATACAGGGTGTGCAAGGGAGCTGTACATACAATGCACATATGGATGGAGCTCCATCACAGCACAGGAACCCACACTGGACCCCAAGCTGAGGATCCACTGCAGTTCTCATAAGGTAGGGAGACCGGGTGGATCTTAAAACAAAGAAAAGAATTATAGGTTTTTTTTGGGGGGGAGTGTGTATGTGAGTGTGTGAGATTATGTCTGTGGTTGTGTGTCTGTCAGCGTTTTTGAGGGTCAGTTCACTCTAGTACAGTGTGTTAATCACACAGTCCCATATGATGAATGCACTGTACCACGCAATCGCATCTAGTGCGCGTTGTGGTACGGAAGGTGTTTTGCGTTGCCATTCATTTACATGACACCCCAAACGCACCTCCTGCCTGTAGTCCAATAGCCTGACCCCGAACGCCAGGTACTGCAATGCTGTGCATTCCATTGGGTGGCGACTAAATGGCCAAGGACAAATGTGGGTCCGGAGGTTACATGGGTTGAGAACCACTACATTAGACCAATGGATTTGACCTAAGGTAATAATATAACCAGGATCACCATCAGGGGGGTATGCTACCCATGTAAGGGACCTGGGCCCCTACCAGGGCCTGACTTACTTATTGACCTGACCAATGCTGTAGGGGCCCATTGACAGGGGAGGTGGCCGGGCCCCAGCAGTGCCGGTCCGGCGGCAGAGGAGTGCGAAGCCCAGCAGCGACTAGGAAGCCAGAGCCCAGCAGCGACTAGGAAGCCAGAGCCCAGCAGCAGCAGGTAAGGAGCTGTGTGTCCAGGGAAAGGGATCCCCCAACCAGCCAACCTGAGACCCTGCAGAGCCCACCATAGAGAGTCAAAGATGGGCTGTGTGGGGTCTCAGGTGAGTACAGATTCCAGTGCGTTATGAAGTCTAGAGTCCAGTGCAATGCATAGTCCTGAGTCTAATTCATATACTGTCCTGCATTGCAGTATAATGTTTTGCTGGGATTTGTAGTCCCCGTACAGCCGGTGCCATTCTGCATTAGAGTGCAAGCTCCTCTGCACAGAAACTAACGTGACTGGCTTAGTGTTCTCTACAGCCTTGTGGTATATGTCAGAGTGATATAAATGTATAATAATACTGTGAGACTGTGGGGGGACCACAAGTACCAGCATGCCACTGCCAGCTGGAGGGGCTAGCCACGTAGGCTGTAAATTATTTTATTTTTCAAGCATAGATGACTATAAATAAAATTTGTGACAAGCGGTCGCCTCCTCTCCCCCTATACCAAGCCCAGACCGTGAAGAGAACACAGCAGCTCCAGCTGTGTGGACACGCCCGGACCTTTGTAATTGCCAGATCGGGTCTACTGCCACCTGCTGCTTACTGGAGTACCTGCACCTAACAGCACCACATCCTCTCGTAGCGCTCTATGTGGGATCCCTGCACTCCTTCCATCTCCCACCAGATGGCGCACTTGTATCCTCATCAGGTCCACTGCGCCTCACCCACGTGCTGCTCACATGTAGCGGAGGACACCGGAAGTAAAAAGCTCTCTGGGAAATGTAGTTTGCCGGTGATTTTAGATTCCGGGCAGTCAGGTGAGGTGGACAGCGGAGGAGCAAGTCGGGCTATATCTGTCTTTTGTTATGTTGTGGGAGGATCTCAGTATATATGGTCTGCTGTTATGAGTGTCCCATTTGTAGTACTTCCTGTACACCGCAGAGTGACTACGAGCCTCCATCAGGGTCACTTCGGGATTACTGCACGTGCTGCATAGCTGCAGGGGGCA